CACTTCAAGTCCTATGCTCGATTATTAAAAATATTAGCGGCATTCTACAGGGGTGGAGATGTAAGATATTTGAAACCGGGAATTCCCCTTTGAGAGGGTTTGGAGAACAAATTTGATTGCAGCAGAAATTATTGCATGGTAAAATTTCTTCCCAGTGGTAAATAATAATGGTATATTCAGCACAAAAGAGGAGCAGAAGTGAAGGAACATGAGCCTTAAAAAATTTCCTGTATATGTCGGCTCTCCATCACCCTTATTAAATAACAATTTTTGGAAATTAGTAATTTTACATTTCTCCAAAAAATCATAGCTACCCTTTCCTGCGTTGGCGTAAACTGGGCTACTGTGATTGAATAGGAAGGAATGCGGGTAGATGTGAGATTGCCTTCTTACAAAAAAACCTGCAATTTGTCTTCCCAACTCCCCCGAATGGCTACAGTAGGCAAGCCAGAAACTAGGTGCAAAAATGAACAGAAAAAAAGAGAGATTCCAGACTGGGGATTTGAGTTCTTGTGGCAAGGAAAAAGTTCGGGATATTGTTCTGACACTTTTTTATGAATAACTTGAAAAAAGGCAAAGATGGATCAAAGAAAAATTACAAAAAACTGATGAACTAAAAAAAACTCGGGCCGAAAAAAATTGCCTTTAAAAAGATAAATTAGTAATACCGTCTAAACTCACATTGTAGGCACTGTGCACACATTTGGACCACTCGGCTCCACTTTTGGTGGTGCCTTTTCAGCGAAAATCGAAGGAATAAGCGCAATGGAGAAAATATAGAAGATTCGCGGCTTCATAGTGAAGTGCCGGATGACTCGGACGGGACGTCAACTCTGTGAGACTCGGGGATGGGCAGTTTCTAGAACAAAACAATACTACTTCTCTAGGAAATGTGAATGCACTTGAAGAAATAAAAACAATAAGAAAAGATTGCGAAAAACAACGGGCCATGTGGAACTAATAATGACACATAGTGTGGCAATAGGGGAAAATATCTTCTCAGACG